TGTCCGCTGGCGCGTCCGCAGGCATTCGAGGGACCAAATTTGCAACCTCCGGCGTTAGATGCTCTTAGTATCGCAAAGATGCCAACGATCTGCTTTGTCCGGACGCACGCCGTGGTGACGACGAGGCCCCGGCGGCCACGGCGGCGAGTCAACGTCAGCTCTTCCCGCATTTGCAAGCTGACACCGCCATCTGCAGCTCCACGCCTCCATCTCCTTGGCCGCTTCAGGCGCGCACGCACGCACGTCTACCAGACGTCTACAGCAAGCCGCCAACACAACAATGCAGTAGATGTTACCGTTGATCGATCGACAAGAAAAAAGGTCCGGTATAGTAGTATTTATTTACTATACTGTGAACCTCGTTTGGCTGGGGCCGGAGATGCACTCGGCCTCGGCCGGGGCGAGGAGGTCAGCTCTAGCTCGCTCGCACGCACGCGGTGCGGACGTGGGTGGGTGCCGCGTCGCCGGCGTGCGGGGCCCCCGCCTGCCTCCGGAGTCCGGCGCGTAGGTTGCACGGTCGCTGTCCGATCGCGTCGCCGCGCCGACGTGGGCGCAGGGCGCGCCGGCGCGTGGCCACGCTGTCGGTGCGGGCCTTCCGTCCCCTCCGCGCTCGCGCACGCCAGCGGCTGAGCTGGGCTGGTCTCGCTTGGCCGGCTTCGGCTTCGCGTGTGGTGACCGATGGATGACACCATTGGCCGCGGCGGCGTGTCGTGGAGCCCTCCCCCCAGCCTCTCTTCTCCCACCGGTTTCTGTTCTTTCTTTTTCGTGCGCGTGGGGAGGAAAAGTCAAAAGCGCTCGCATGTACGGCCTCCCCTGCTGACGGTCGGTCAAGGTAAAACAGTGAAACGAAACACTCATCTGAACTCTGGGACTGGAGCATGTCGGTGTTGCTGCTCTAGAGTCCAGACCGGAGTTCCGGTCACTGATCGCACAGTTCACACTATTTGCTCGTTTGACCCGGTCAACATTAGGTGCACCAGAACTCTGGAGTATGTCGGTGTTGCTGCTCCAGACCGGAGCTCCAGTCACTGATCGCACAGTTCACACTATTTGCTCGTTTGACCAGGTCAACGTTAGGTGCACCGCGTGTCCGTACGTACGACCAGTCCCTTCTTTTGCGCCTGGCAGCCGGTGCGCGAGGCCATCAGGAGCTGCTGCATCGGCGTGCGTGCATTCCCTTTGTCGAGCCGCAGCTTCACCTCATTGGGGGCTGTTGCCAGATACTCAGGGCTCGATGTATCAGTACGGTAAAAGTGTGCACGCACTCCCAGTCCCAGAGTAGATCTGGCGGTGGCCACCGACCGATGGAGTGAGCAGGGCACCGCCGCGTGCCATGCCAGAAATAGACCTAGGCCACCCTTTCGCGGCTGATACGTACGTCGGCGCATGGCGGTGCATGCACGATTCATTGTAGCAGTACTATGTTTATGATCGCCCGCTGTCGCTTCCACGATTATTACCCAAGTCGGCAACGCTTGGGCTGGGGGCAAAGGCACAGTACCACCACCGGGCACCGGCCGAGGGTGGTCAACCCCCGATGATCGCTGCTGCCACTCCCGGCGAGGGCGACACGTCAGGGCATGTCATGGAAAGGCGCCGGCCTGGCTTGGGCGAAAGAACAGGGGCAAGTAGTGCAAGGGAGGAAGAAAGGGAGAGGGGAAAAAGGGAGGTTGGTGTGCCGTGCCGATGCCAATCGCCACGCGAGTAAGTGACAAGTTTGGCCGGGACGCGACGCGACGTAACAGTTGCTTGGAGGCTAAGGCCCAGCGCCAACGCCCAGCCGTCCCGACCAAGCCACCGGCGGCGCGGCGGCGTCCGCTTTCCTCTTCCGTCCAAGCCTTCGCCGGGTTCGGATGCCACCGCAAGACACGAACGGAACAAAAAACGGACAGAAAAGAAACAGCGGCGAGGCGTCCACGCGAGGCAAAATTTCGTGTTTTGACCCTTTTTACAAAGAAATTCGAGATTTGACCCCTGTCTGAAACTATTTCGGGATCTGACCCTTTTGACTACCGCCAGGAGGGCCGGCGGTAGGTTTGCACGTCCTACCGCCATCAGCAGTGGCGGTAGGCCCTCTAACGGTGACTGACGGCCGTCGGCGCATACTGACGGGGGAAAGGGCCTACCGCCACAGTCTGAGGCGGTAGGGTTCGGTGGCCTACCGCCCGAGGTGGTGGCGGTAGGTACCGAAGAGGCAAGTGATGCTGCGGGCGGGCCCTACCCCACCCACCAGCCCGTTCTTCCTCCTCCCCTCGACCCGAACAGAGTCGAGCGCCGCCTCTCTCCTCATCCCGATCCCCTCCCTCGATCTCCCTCTTCCCTCCATCATTTTCGCGGATCTTTGGGGCAAATCGAAGAGGCCGGTAAGCTCCTCCATTCCCTCCAATCAGTTTTCGCAATGGTTTTTTATTTTTGAAGTTATTTTTGGCACTAGGTACAACCTAGGTTTTGGTGTTGATTTTTTTATGATGTTTTAGTTGTTTAGGAGTATATGATTTAGTAGTAGGCCTATGTGAGGATGTGTGGGTGAAACAATTGCAAGATATGTGAGGATATGTTGGTGAATGCATATATGATGGTCCATTTTATTTTGTGATGTGTATATGAATTTTATAAGAAATCTTTTTGTATGTTGAATGCAAGATTGTGAGGATAAAGGCATAACAAAATTCGTAGATGGTTAATGTATTGTAAATTTGTGAAGATGTATGTTTTGCAAAATTGGTAGGTGGTTAATGCATAGTGTGAAAATGTGTGTATTTCTATTTCATATAGTTGCAAATGTATGAACCCTAGGTTTAGTCTTTCTTATAGCCATACGAGGAACCCTCCCTAGTTGATATGATGAACCCTAGAACCTAGATGAACCCTAGATTTAGTCTTTCTTATAGCCATATGTGATGATTTATTGTGTGAATATTCTAGATATTTGTTTTGCTTGCATTAGAACAAATATTGATGTTTAATTAACTTTATCCAATCAATGCTTATATAAGGAACATGGCCCCACCACCACCACTTGATGAGGATGATGACTATGAAGACTCACTTGAGGAAGCCATCTGTGCTCAAAGAGTGAGGCTGAGCGAACGGGAGGTGTGCAACCTATGGGACAACTTTCTGCCACGTGCTGAGTTGATCGGGGCGCCATTCGTGACCCGTCTGACAAGTACCATGATCGATCGACATGTCATGGTATGTTATTAGTGTAGAATCCAAGGAATTGTTAATAGTTTAAATAATCCATACTTATCAATTGATATGTTTTTCTTATTTAGAAATTGCCAAAGAGCCTATCTGAGAGTTGTGGCATCGAGGCTGATGAAGAAGGCTATGCTGGAATACGCCTTACCGCAAGGGGCCCCGTCACTACTTGTGCGTACGGCGTGGAAACGGACGGCCGCACACATTTAAGCACAGATGGGTGGAAGAGCTTCCTCGTTGACAAGAATCTTCATGTTGGACAGGCCATCCTTATTACTATCAGGAAGACCAACCGTCAAGGCTTGAAGATGATGATCGTCAACGATATCATTTAAACTATATATGCGTGTGGCTGCTGATGATCGTCATGTTTGATTGCTACCTATTTTGGCTTCGTGAAACTATTTGGATGTGATCAAAGTATGTTATGTTTATGTCTATGAAATTGTGATCAAACTATGTTATGTTTATGTCTATGAAATTATGATCAAACTATGTTATTTGGTACTAGTTTCTTAATCTGTAATGGCAAAACTAATTATGCTTATGTCCATGAAATTGTGCCTATTGGTTCTTATGTTCAGGGCCCTTGCATATTTCTATGAAATTGTGATCAAACTATTTGGATGTCTATGAAATTGTGATCACACTATTTGGATGTGATCAAAGTTCTTATGTCTACAAAATTTTACACGAAACACAGGACCCTACCGCCAGGCCCCCTGGCGGTAGGGTCAGACAGCCTACCGCCGTGAGCCCTGACGCTAGGGTGAACCTACCGCCAGGACGCTTGCATATCTCGTTACAGAAGGCATGCACGGCAAAACCCTGCCACACCTTACCGCCAGAGCCGTTGGTGGTAGGGTTAGACAGCTTACCGCCTGGTTGTCTGGCGGTAAGGTACTTATCCACGTCAGCGCGCGGTGACGGTCCCCGTCTCCCTCCGTCACACCCTACCGCCAGGGAATCTGGCGGTAGCTTGTCTAACCCTACCGCCAGGGACTCTGGCGGTAGCAAAAGGGTCAAATCCTGAATTTTTTTTTAAACGTGAGTCAGATCTTGATTTTGTTTAAAAAAGGGTCAAAACACGAAATTCAGCCTCCACGCGAACGGCGTGCTTGTCCGCTGGCCACTTTTCTGGTCATGGGAAAGAGCATGCAGAATGGCGGGCGGGCGGGTGGCCCCTTTTCGGGCCCGATATATTCCGCCGGCCTCGCGTACACGTCGGCGTTGGTTGCCGGGAAGGGACGCGCCGGCCGTCGGATGTTTTACTTGCCCCGTTTCTTACTCCGGAATCCACATGCTCTCACTCACTCCCGAGCACGCCACGCCTCCTCTCGGGCTGCTCCAGTATAAATATTCCGCTGCCGCCCTGTCCCTGAGCTGTATTAGTCTCCTCCTCCTTGTACCCTCCCCACCTGTGCGTTTTCTTTCCCCACCTCTCCTCCTCCTACCTCCTACCCTCCCACCTACCTCTCTGCCTCCTCCCTCCCCTGATCCCTCCTCCCTCGTTCCCCAATTCAGTCGACGCCAGGGGAGGCACCTGCGCCGCCCGCACCCACGATCGTGTCTCCTGGTCTTGCCCCGATCCAGCAAATTCGCCTCTTTCCTTCATCTTGCCGCGGCACAGCAGCCCGGCGTCGGCGACAGGAGGAGAGATTTTCGTAGCTGAGACTCGAGAGTTTCCGTGCTTGGATTGTTCTTGGTTGTTGCCGAGGGTAGTGCAAGCTGCTAGGGTTGCTCGGTTGATTCTTTGCTTTACTTGTGCGGGCGGCATATATACGTGTCATGAGAAGATGATGCGCGCCAAGGGCAAAGCTACATTCTTGGACGCCATGAAGGAGACCACCTCGCCCGTCTCTCCCGCGGCGGCGGCGGCGGCCAAGGAGGCGCTCAAGGAGGACGAGTGGGAGGTGCGGCCCGGCGGGATGCTGGTGCAGAAGCGCGACCCGGACTCCGACGCCCCCGCGGGCGCCCCCGTGCCCACCGTCCGCCTCAAGGTCAAGTTCAACGGCGTCTCCCACGAGATCTACATCAACTCCCAGGCATCCTTCGGTAATGCAAATCAATTGCTTTGGTTTCTCAGTTTTTGATTTGACTCGACTCGAGCTAGCTGCTGACTGAGGGTGAATGGTGGTGCAGGTGAGCTGAAGAAGATGATGTCCGAGAAGACCGGGCTGCACCACGAGGACCAGAAGGTGCTCTACAAGGGCAAGGAGATGGACTCCAAGGCCTTCCTCGACATATCCGGCGTCAAGGACCGTTCCAAGCTGGTGATGCTCGAGGACCCCGACGCGCAGGCCAAGCGCCTCATCGAGCAGCGCCGCGCCGACAAGGCGCAGCGCGCCTCCAAGTCCGTCTCCCGCATCAGCCTCGACGTCGACAAGCTCGCCACCAAGGTACCTACTTAATCACCACTGGATTGCTTGCCTTCGAGGACTCTGGCTGCGTTCGTCTCGTCGATGGGATTCGGTGGGTGTTTGATCGAATTTGGGTGGTGCTCTGCAGGTGTCGGCGCTGGATACCATCGTGCGCAAGGGCGGGAAGGTGGTGGAGGCCGACGTGGTCGCCCTCACCGAGGCGCTCATGACGGAGCTGGTCAAGCTGGACGCCATCGCCGCCGACGGCGAGGTCAAGGCGCAGCGGCGATTGCAGGTCAGCACGTACGCTCAGCCGAATTAAGTTCCCCGCCGATTCCGTTGACGAGCACATTACTTGCCCACAGGAGCCGAGCACAACTGAATCCGCTTCGGCTCTATGAATCTTTTGGTGGCGCAGGAGAAGCGGGTGCAGAAGTACGTGGAGACGCTGGACGTCATCCGGGCCAAGAACGCGTCGGCGCCCACGGCCAACGGCCACGTCAAGAACGCGGCGGCACCCAAGGCCAACGGCAACGGCAATGGGCAAGCCAAGGGCGACCGGTCGCTGCACCTGCCGCCGCGGCCGCCGCCCGTGTCGCAGCGGCGGCAGTTCAAGCAGCAGCCCGCGCCGGCGAACGGCAAGGCTGCGGCGGCGCCGCCCACGGCGAGCTGGGAGACGTTCGACCTGCTGTCGTCAATGCCGTCGACGTCCTCGGCCACGGCGACCACCACCATGGCAGCCGCGACCACCACGACGAAGCCGGCCACCAACAACAACACCACCTCGCCGATCCCGCGGTTCGACTGGGAGCTCTTCTAGCTGCAACGCGCGTACCGCCCGTGACGGCATGGTACATGCCCCTGCCTAGCTTGATTCCTTTCTCGTGCATCCATCCATCAATCGACCTCTCTGCTCTGCTCTGCTCTGCTCTGCTCTGGTCGATCCGACCAATCTAGTGCCGATTGTTTGCTCTCGTCTGTTTATTCTTTCCTTTTTCTCGATGGATCGTTTCTTGTTCCGCCCCCATTTTTCTTTCTTTTACATTTCTTCCGAGTGTATGTATGTATGTACATCAAACAACAGAAGATGAACAGACCCTGGCCGGTGAAGTGGCGAGCGTGTTCGTCCATTCCGTTCCGTCCGTGCAGAAAATAAGCGCTGGTGGTGGTCTTAATGTGAAGGATTTTTCTTTTGAAAAATAGCATGTATATGTGATTCATACTACCTACATACTACTTACATCAATCGATTCCTCTATGATTGGATTGCTTGGTTGATTCCCCCATTCCCCCATCGCAAGTGGTGATCGTACTGCTGGGTGGTCATCGGGGTGTGAGATTTGGTGCTCTGGATTCCAAATGCACCATGGATTGATTGATTGGTTGGGGTTGGGGGGCTTGCCGCTGTGCTTGTGTCGTGTGGGGCGCGGGGCACGAATTATTGTTGGCCATGAGCGCGCACGGACACGCAGCGCAGGGGCCGGGGCGGGGGCGGGACAGGAGCGAGTTGGTTCCAGGCAGGGCTGGGTCCATTGACAGTGTGGTGGTTCGTGCACGTCGTGCCTGGACGCGCTCGCTAGCTAGTACTCTGTGGGTGTGGCTCTATTGGTAAGAACCGCATGATGATCGTTGCGTTTGGGTGTGGCTCTGATTAGATAGAAGGTTCCATTAGTTTGGTCGGTCGGCAATACGCCATGTTCTTGGGTGTTAACCTGAACTGGCCAGCTGCATTTGCTCGAGTCCGACCTACAGCTGCAGCTGCAGGGTTGTTCCAAATTTGTACTGCCCACGATGTCAGCCCAGCTCGCTTGATTAGCTGAGTTACGCCACGAGCACAAATAAATGGTTTTGGCAGGTTGTACTCACATTGCACCTACTAGCTACTCCCTCTGTCCCAAAATACTTGTCGAAGAAATGGTTGTATCTAGACATATTTCAGTTTTAGATACTCCGTCAATTCCCTTATATACAAGACCACTATTGAAAATATATTTTGCATCAATACAAGGCCTCCAACAGCAATCGAGGCAAACGTTAATGATGTTTCCTCATACTAGCAACTTTTAAATACTTATATGCATGTAGTAATAATGACACTCAGCCACTTCTTTCTCATTCATAAGTTGCATGTTTGTGTTAACAAAAAGAAAAGTTGACTTGTAAAGGAGTCATTAAATTTTGTCTTGGTACCTGTAATATGAATTTGTGGCCTTGTATAAGGGAATGAAGGGAGTACATTCATTTTGATTCATTTCTCCGACAAATATTTCTGGACGGAGGGAGTACTATTTTTTCTTCAGTTATGACAGCTCCAACGGTAGATGTGGATCTGATCTGAGGCTGCAACTCAGCGCAGCTCGGTCCGGTTGTTTGCTTCTTTCTCCCCGTGGAGGAGGAGAAGCACGCACGTTGGAAGCGGAGGCATGGCAAGGCCTAAAGCGGGTCTTCTCCGCGTGACACGGTTTCCGGGCCCAATCGACGCCCTGCGCCCATGCTAAACAAAGGCCAGCCGGGCACTACTTGCAGCTGCAAAGTCGTTGCGCGCCATACCCTAATGCAAGTGGCCGGCTGCGTCCGGAATGGTAGTGCTGCCACTGCTAGCTGCTGCATCGGGAGCTCCTCGTGTGGAGAGAGAGAGTTGTTTGGGCCGGACAGGAGGCAGGCAGCTACCTATGGATGGGGTATAGAATATCTGCACGAGCGAGGGAGGAATAGGGAGAGAGATGCGTTGCTTGCTTCAGGCGAGGAAGAAGGAAGGGTCGGAGTGTGGGTGGGCACGGAAAGAGAGGGGGAGGGCTGAATGGTGAGGTCCAAGTGGACTTTTTGGAAAGTTCGGGGCCCGTGCAGCGCATGCTATGTGCATAGGCCGGTGTTTCGGCTACTGGTTCGAGGGGCAAGAAATGAAATTCCGGCCTACTCACTCCGTCCGGTGAGAGCGACATCACATTTTTGTCTACGTGAAGGAGAGCGACATTGAAAATTGATGACGGTAAATGACGTGGATGAACTCTCAGCCTAGCGATATGTGCATTCCTAGACAAAAATAATAAATACAATGAGAGAGAAAGAGAGAAGGTAAAAAAAAGTAGTACTACACATAATGACTATAGGTGACATGGCAGTTGCATATAGTCAGCAGTTGGGTATGCTATTAACCGTCGGACGGAGGGAGTATGTTCGGGCGGCAATGGTGACCAATCAACCGGCGGTGCGGAGCAGTCGATGTTTTTTTCTGTAGGCCGGCAACGATGTGGTCATTCCCGTGTTGGATCGTTAGTGTCTGGTGACGCACGATATTGATCGTGTCCTTCCCCTGGGAATAAACTGCTACCATAGGCTAGTCCCGGCCATGGGCCGCCCGACCCAAAAAAGCCCGCCCGACGCTACTCTCGGGCCGGGCCTGGGCCTAGGTTTTGAGCCCGAAGACTAGGTCGGGCCGGGCCTGGGCCTGCTATTTCTGCCATTTACTGAAGAGGCCTGGCCCGAGGCCCGATGTTTTTTTGCAGTGACAGGCCGGGCTTGGGCCTGAAAAGTAGGCCCGACGGCTGGGCTCAGGCCTGAGTTTTCCACCTCGGGCTTGGTCACGCTCGGCCCGAGGCCTGATGTTTTTTGCAGTGACAGGCCGGGCTTGGGCCTGAAAAGTAGGCCCGACGGCTGGGCTCAGGCCTGAGTTTTCCACCTCGAGCTTGGTCACGCTCGGCCCGAGGCCCGATGTTTTTTTGCCGTGACAGGCCGGGCTTGGGCCTGAAAAGTAGGCCCGATGGCTGGGCTGGGCCGGGCTCGAGCCTGAGTTTTCCACCTCGGGCTTGGTCACGCTCGGCCCAAAGCCCGACCCGGCCCGGTGGATGGCCAGGTCTACCATAGGCGACGACTACCAAGGGGTAGGTAGTGGAATCGTCTGATGCAAATTAGCCATCAATTTGTCACTTCTGAAGACGACCCATGACTTTGAAATGTCTCAAACACGGAATTTCGGCACTACTAGTGTCCCTCCCAGTTAAAGACTTCGTCATCTTGTCGTAACCGGTTCTTGTCGTAGCTAGTCAGCCTGATCGTGCGAGCATGGACATCTCTCGCCGTCAGTACCGCACGTGTCTGCAGCTACCGGGTGGTGGCAAGTGGAGGAGGCAGTGACTTCAATTGGATGGTGCTTCTCGAGTACCACGCTTCGCGCTCCGGGGCGTAAACCCTAGGTATTACCCTAGTTGGTTATACATAGCAATGGTGGTGCTCTCTACGTTGTTACCTTGATGAAAGTCATTGCTCAGAGTTTGCTCAAACTTGTCTCTTTAATTCCTCTCATATCGTGGTTTCCCTTAAGTCTCAAAAACTTCATCCACACAAAATTCAACAAGAACTCGTGAGATAAGTTAGTACAAACGAACTCAAAGCCTTATCATTCTCTACTATAAAAAATCACTAAAATTATAATTAAACATTGCACACTAAATTCCTATGCATATTTAAACGCCTATCCTCAAATAGAATCATTAAACAAGCAAATATATGCAAACAGTGTAAACATAACAACAATATGTCTAAACAGAACAAACTGTAAAGTATGAAGCAAAATTCATAGTAACTCTAAAATTATGAAAAATTAACACATTGTAGAAAATTTATCATTAAATTTTTAAAAATTTAAAGATTTTATCATGCTCTGACTATTTAGGAATATTCAAGACATAACAGAAAACTTTCTGTTTTTAAACAGCAACATATGGACTTGCAACTAAGCATGGTAAAGGCTATACTTGTCACGTCTATTGAAATAAAAGATACAAACATGCTTATTAATAACATCAAGCAAATATAAACAAAATAAAATGACGCTGCACGCAAAACACATATCATGTGATGAATAAAAATATAGTTCTAAGCGAGGTTACCGATAATGTTGAAGACAATGCTCCGAGCACGCACGACTCCGGGTACTACTCGACTCCAAACCCGCGGAAGCCAAAGACCATGGGATATGCGGATACCAGAGACAAGCCGTGGCGTTGGAGGCTAGTTCGGGGGCTACTGAGGGAGTCCTGGATTAAGGGGTCCTCGGGCCACTGGCTTATTGCCTATGGGCCGAACTAGGGCGTGGACCCGTAACCAGATAGGAGATCTTCAAAGTCGTGGTGTGCCCTCCAAGTCAAGATTTAGTATAATCTTTCCTTTGTTGTAGCCGATCGCGTGTAACCCTAACCCTACTAGTGTCTATATACACCAGAGGGTTCTAGTCTTTAGTGCTAGAGCAACATCCAATCCCTCCTCAACCCAGGGTTTAGCTCGCCTGATCTCGAGGTAGATCGACTCTGTAACCATACTATATACATTAGATACAATCAAGCAGGACGTAGAGTTTTACCTCTTAGAGAGGGCCCGAACCTAGGTAAACCCCGTGTTCATCGCCTCTTGTTCCCCATCGACCCGATCCACAACTCGGGACCTCCTACCCGATATCCACCAGTTTTGACACCGACAGCGCCCACCCCCTAGGCGCGCCCTGGGGGCTTGTGAGGCCCCTGGCCAGCCTCTGTGGCCCATCTTCTGCTATATGAAGCCATTTTCCCTAGAAAAAATAATAAGGAGAGGACTTTCGGGATGAAGCGCCGCCATCTCGAGGTGAAACTTTGGCAGGAGCACTTTTGCTCTCTTGTGGAGCGATTCCGCCAGGGATACTTCCCTCTGGGATGGGGAAATCAAAGCCATCGACATCACCAATAACCCTCTCATCATGGGAGGACCAATCTTCATCAACATCTTCACCAACACCATCTCATCTCAAACCCTAGTTCATCTCTTGTATTCAATCTTTGTCTCAAAACC